GGAGAATATATAAAAAAAAAAAAAAAAAAAAAAAAAAAAAAAAAGGAAAAGGAAATTATGGAAATGACTGCTGTTAAAAAGAAGCTGGGACAGTCTCCAAATGGAGAAAAAAGTTGGCACCTGTGATTGGACTGTTTGGCACACAGTTACTTCTTTAACCAGACAACGAGGAGGTCTGGGAACTTCTTTGCTAAAGAAGCTGGGGGTGTGGTTCAGTGGTAAAGCACCTGCTTAGTATGTGCAAAATCCTGGGGTCAATTCCTAGCACCATAGAAATCCATACATCCATAGAATGCTTTTGGAATTGAGAATCAGAACAGTTAAGTTTGTCACTATCGAACACAGAGGAAGGAGAGGGGCTGTGTATTGCAGAAACAGAGTTAAGCAGGTGACTGACTCCCACGTTGGTAGCCCCTACTGGCTTCTAGATGTTTCAAATACAGGACCCAGGGTGTTGAGGAAGGTTTGATTTTTTCTGGGTGCCTCTGTCTAGGCAATACCCAGGGTCACAAAGGCCACCTGCCACAGTCAGGTGGCTCTCTCTCCTTCCGTGTGTCTCGCTTAGTTCACTGTTCACTGCCATGCCTTGAGTTCTTCCTCCCCTCCAGAGCTGTGCTAAAGCTTGAAGAGAAGGCAGTCCCTATTTCCTGCAGCCTATCTGATCTGGGGGCATCCCTGCACAGGCTTTGGTTACAGCTCTCAGGTTGCTAGTGACCACTGGGGGGCTAGAGTGGGTACAAGCTACCCAATGCCCCAGACAAGACAGGCAGATTCTATCTAAGCTGATTTCTATTGCCAACTACCAACATAATGAGCAAAGTGAGGAGGCTGAGTCATTAGCACAGCTGCTATGGGGTACCAACCTGAATGAAACAGTCATTTGAAAAGCTGTGGCTGGGTAGGGCAGTGAGCTGGATGGCTCTGTTATCCTGTAGCTGTTGCTTTTCTCCAGCTGCTGGATTCAACCCAGACTCTGTTCTTCAAATGAGATACCAGTGCTACAGGACAAGGCTGCTCCCAGCAAAGAGGAAATAGGCCAGATCTTGGTTCTACCCACTTCTAAGGAACCAGCATGTTCAGAGATTGGATACATGGGGCAAAGACAGCTGCCTCCTGATCGAAGTTTTGGCTGCCATTCAAGCCTCTCAGGCACGTGTGAACAGAGTGGGAATTGAAGCAAGACCCACACACGAGAGACCAGGGAGCCTTCAGAACTGCAGCCTTAAGATGGGCCATGTTGTGTGGTCAGGTAAAAAGACCTGTTACCATCATGTACTGCCTGGGCATGCCCTACCTCACCTACTGGGTCCTCATGCCTTAGTGTACTTAGAAAGGGATTCTAACCTCCCTGATCCTGGAACCCACTTCAGATACTCTAGCAAGGGGCCCACTGGGTATGCAGTGGAACACCCTTCCTGGAAGGAAAGCATCAGCTTTGGGATAGCCACAAACTATACCCTTTGTGTGAGCCACTCTGGCCTGGCTTTAAGGATTAGGGCCAGGCAACCTCTTATTTTAGGTTAAGAGGCATTAGAAGGGATAAAAGGTTAAACCCAGAGAGGGATCTTCCAGGGACCTGCACATACTTCCCAATTCTGGGGCACAGTGAACAATGAGGCCCAGGCTCTCTATAGGTGTGGAGCAAGAGGTGGGTGGAGAGATGGCCTGGGCTTTCTGCCAGGGCTAGGAACTGGCTCTCTCTGCTGCTCTGCAACAGAGTCTTCTGCAGTCAAGGCCATGAATTAGGAAATTCTTAGCCACTTTCAGTCAAGACCTAGCACCAGGGCTCCCCTGCCTGCAGGTGGCTCTTCCTCCTACCTGATCCATAAGTAGCAGCTTGGTATCTTTAACTTTTCCCTCACTCATTGGTCCCTGAATAACACTGAGGTACACTGCCTCTGCCTCCTTCCTGTCACTGGAAACATCTTTACCACAAGGTTAAACCAAATAGGAAGATGGAGGCCAAGCTCTGGTCACAATCCTCCTTTGCTTAGAGTCCCCTGACCACTTTCCTTCTGCTGCCTGCAGTGGAGATAGACCAGAAGCTTGCTGCACTCCTAGGCAAGGTAATGCCTAATGCCACAAGGAGGTCTGCTTAACTAAACTACTATTACACAATAAATCAAAACATTTAGCTACCTAGACAAAAGTATGTCTCTCATCCCCCAGGGCACCTCACATGCAGCAAAGCTACCTGTGAAACATCTGCTGAGCCTGTTTAGGCATGGAGCAGAGGAACCAGATGCAGAACCAATGCTTTAGGTGACCTAGTTGGGGGCTCCAAGGGTGCAGAGGCTGAGGCTGGGCTAGATCCTGGCTCTGTAGGCAACTCAGTGTGACCTTCTTACTGAACCTTGTTCATGGTGGGCAAAATGGGTGAAGAGGATCTGACACAGGTGAAGAACCAGAACTTGCTCACAGGGGGCCTTCGGGGAGCAGAACCAGAGTTAGGCACCCATAGTGACTGGTAGAAGCAAGGACCATTGGGAGATGAGAAGGAAACAGAAGTTTTCCTGGCCTGTTCATCTAAGGACTGGTTCCACTGGTAATGGGAGCAGAGCTACTGCCCTACTCCTCTTTAGGGTTGCCATGCACAGTAAGCTGGGCACTGCTTAGGAAACCAGGCCTGACCCCCTACTCACCGTTACTATGATTTCCTGTCTGGAGGGAAGCAGAGGGCTGCAGGTTGCTGCTCAAGGACCCATAGCCACGGTAGCTGTAGTTGATGCCACCATTGACGTACACAGGGTCCTGGGAGTAGGCAGAGGCTGGCAGTGAGTAGGTGGAGTGGGTGATGGCTGTGGAGTCCCGAGAGTGCTGCTTATCCAGGGCTATGGGCTCATCCTGCAGAGAAGGAAGGGTACTGCTGGGGAACTCAAGGGACAGCAAGCCCAAGTCATTGTCCCTGACATGGGGTAGGCAAAAGTTTGTGGCTCCTGCATCCCAGTGATACGAGATGCCCTTGGTTCCCTCTCCCTGGTCTCCTTGCCCTAGGGACCACTCCTGACTGGGCACCTGTATGTGCCCTCAGCACTACTCTGTCTGTCTAAGACTGTGTGAGGATTGCCCTCCCACCTCTCCCAGCACCTTAGCTGCAGGTACACACAGATGAGTAATGACCCCTGCCCCTTGGGCGTTGCCCTATCAGGTATAGCCAGCCATGAGCACATACTTGTGAAGACTGGTAGATCTCCAGGCGCATCCTTTTGGCTGCTTTTCTCGTCTCACTCTCACAGGCAGCTGCTAGGATGTTTTCTGCCATGGCTGAGGTCAGGTGGGGAGGCGTGGGTCTGGTCTGCAAGCGGAATGGGCATAGAGCTGGTGTTGGGGCTGAAAGGGCCCCTGGCCAAGGATAGGGGGTAGTTGAACTGAGGTCTGGGCTCTAGCACCTAATAGCCTCAGTCTCCTCATTTGTATAACAGGACTACTGAAGTTCAGGGTAAGGTGTCTGGAAGGTAGTGGTGGTGCCATAGGCAAGGGTGGCTGGGAAAAGGCACTCACCATTTCCATGCCGTTCTTCTTCATGCGGCGGCAGGACTTGAGGTATGTGCGGATGCGCTTGCGTGCCCGTTCCTGGAACTCGGGGAATTGCCGGCTGCATGACTCGATGATGGCCTGGATCTTCTCCTTGGGCTGCTTGGAGATGGGCACCATGCGGTCCAGGTTCTCATCCACAAACAGCCGCACAAACATCTAGGAGAGACACAGGCCATGGGAGGGGCTGGCCCTGCCTTGGACCCATCCCTATCCTACCAGTCCTGCCTGGTACTCACATTGAAGGCCTTGAGCCGCTCAGGGTCCATGCCCTCTGAGTCATTCATTTTGTCATTGTCTTCATGGTCATCATGGTCATCATCGTCATCATCTGCCGTGGGTGCCCGGCCCACTGTCAGGTCCTCGGGGCAGCCACTGACCTCAGTCTTGATGGAATCATAGCTCCCAGAGCTGTAGGGGGGAGACTGAAACCAAGCAAGAGGCAAAGAGACAAATCAAGTGGCTGTCTATAATCTTTGGTCTCCAATAGGCCATGGTAAGCTTGGGGACCAGCTTGGTGAGTTCACCAGGCTTCCACAAAAGCCTTGGCTGCAAGTCAACTCTGCCTTCCACTGTGACAGCAGCAGCACACAGGGGCCTTGCCTTTAGAGGAAATGAGCAAAGGGTGGTAGCAGCTTCTTGGGTAGGGGTATCCACATCAGAACCTGCTGCATTGTGGGAAGGACACAAAAAAGGATTCCCATCAGCCAGTCTTGTTTCTGTGCCAGAATCTGTTTTGACTTCCAGGTTTGCTCCTGGATCCCCAAGGGACTGCAACCTTGCATTGACAAGCGAGCTGTTACCAGAGCAGCAAGTGTGCTGTCTGTCAGGAGGAGGAACAGATGGGCTGGGAAGTGGAGACAGCCAAGGCGGCAGGTCGATGGGTAAGGGTGCAGTCCCTAGCTCCCAGGCTAGGCTGCTTCTGCCTGTCTCCCAAGGAAATACTGTGGGCCCTGGGAAAACAGGTCTGCAAGGAGGAAGAGACCCAGTCCCAGCTGCCTGATGCAGCCTCCCCTATCAAGGGCTTAAGCCCTCTATTCCCACCCACATTCCTCCCTCAGCCAGCTCCTCACCAACTACCTGTCTCTCCTTAGAATATGGCCTCTGCTTTCCTCCTGCTTCATACCCATGGGGTTGATTCAGTTCCACACTACCTGTCTCCTATCTCCTGCTTCTCCCCTCAGAACACTGGCTCTTGGGATGCTGTCATTTGCCCCTTAGAAAGTTTGTATCTGTGGCATATCCTGACCATTTCTTCCCTGAAGGAAGTTGGCACTCGGTGGGTAAGCTGGGCCCAAGAAACATGTAGCTGCATAGTCAGGTACTGTCATACGGCCATGGTCTGGCCTAGGACTCCACTGCTCCTGAGGAACAACTCCATGAACATCATCAGGCCCATGAAGCAGATCCTTTCAGTTTCTTCATATTAAGACTCGAAAGAGGCAGAACTCCAGCCCAAGAACCACAATATAGGGTCAAAAGACATACAGGGCATGGTGCTGGCTATGTGGCCATAGAGAAGTGCCTCTTTAGCTAAATCTGCTAGGGCCAGAATAGACTGAGAAAACTTTAAGAAAGCTATCACTTCCTTGAATCCTGTGTCTGCCACTGGCCATAGTGGCAATGGCTTGAGGGACCTGCAGAGCAAAACTCACCCCCACCCTACTCCCAGCTTGGTTCCCAAGGCCTGTGCCATCCATATGACACCAACTGAAACCATCTCTTGTAAGACCCTGAGGCCAGCACTGGTGTGTGTCCTATCCCCTCTGCAGGGCAGGAGAAGAGCGTGTTGAGAGTAGGAAGTTAGACTCAGGGTGGCAAAGCTTAAGAAGGTACTCTAGAAGAGCTGGTGCTTGCTGACAGGAAATCTTAATGACCCAGAGATAGTGTGTGGATGTGAGTGTGGGCAATGGTAGGGGACCCACCCTGCTCACCCACATTCCTCATCCTGGGACCTCACCGGGACAGGCAGGCAGAGTTGCTAGGACATATGTGACCTTGTGCTGCCTTTTGTTAATATTTTTAAGTGTGTGTGTGTGTGTGTGTTTGTAATGGGGATACATGCCAGTGGTCAGAGTTGGGAAGCAAGAAATAATCCTATTTATGCTGCAAACCACAGGCAGGATTAGATTGATAGCATCTGTTTGTGGTTGTGTGTGCTGTTCTGGTCATCAAAACACCAAAGAGAAAATCTTTCCTGTTAAAACAGACTTCCCATTCCTTCCATGTCAAGCTGGACACGCAGCTTCAATAAATACAGAGCATGTCCTCTGTTCAAGAGAATGATTCTGGGAGAAATCAAAAAGAAAATGTTCTCAAAACAGATCTGGCTCATCCAACACCGAGAGTGCAGGCTGACACTGCTAGGCACTGATGTGATGTTTAATCTCTCTGCTACAGTCTGAGTGGAAGCACTATGAAAAGTTCATGACTCCAGCCTTTTTTGTAATGGGGATACATGCCAGTGGTCAGAGGACAACTTTGTGGAGTCACTTTTCACCTTCCATCTTTATATGGGCTCCAGGTCACCTTTAATAACAAGTCTCTCCTCACCTTTTTGATTTTTATTTTTGAGATAGGTTCTCCCTGTAGCCCCCGAGATGGCCTAGAACTCATCAGGTAGACCAGGCTGACCTCATAGAGATCTGGCTGCCTTTAGTGCTGGGATTAAAGATGCCATATTTGGTGGGGGGCAAGGTCTTACTGTGTAGCCTGCATTGGCTTCAAATTTGCAGCAATACTCCTAAAGCCTTCCGAGTGCTGGGATTATACCACCGTGCTCAGCAAGGCCTTGTGCCTTTATGTCAATGTGCCACTTGCTGATCTTTAGAGTAGAGTCTGTTCCAGGGAAAAGGAGAAGCCCTGGGGACACACAGTCACCTGCCATCTGTCGGCCAAGGTAAGGAGCCATCAGACCCACTTGACAGATATGAACCAGCCTCAGAGAAATGAGGCGTCCAACGTTGGGACACACTGAGTTATCTCCTATTCTAGGGCCTCTCTAGAAAACAATGGTGACATGGCCACAGTCACCACCCTGGCTTGATGGCACACATGGGCTAGCTCAGCTCCAGCTATACAGTAGGTATGACCTCACTTCAGCCTCCCAATAGCCCAGAGGCTCACAGCCTGCAGCCCCACGCACCTCAGGAGTGCTCTTCACCCCGTACTTGACGCGGCTCCGCAGCCCATCGGTGCTGCAGCCATCGGAGGGGTAGGACGGTGTGCCAAGTGCCGTGCCTGATGGGAGCTTGTCGCACAGGTTGATGGGCTGATCCTCGGCGGTAGCAGTGAAGTCCATAGGGGCTGCAGCACCGTTGCCATTCATCTCAGGGAAGGCAGGGTCACCCTGCGTGCTGCTGGAAGTGGATGGGTTCAGGGTGGAGGAGCCATTGCCGCTGCCACTCTCAGAGGAGGAGTCATCTGGAACAAGAGTGCTGGGTGTGAGGCCCCATCCCTGCACCCACTGTCTCCAGAGGCCCCACAGCCCCCTCACACCTCCTGTGTAGTACCTGGACTGTTATCCTTGCAGGGCAGAGGTGTGCTCTGCTCTCCACACCAGATGCTTTGGGATCTGAACAGAGGCCCGTCCTCATAGCCTAGGCTGAGGCAAGAACAGGACAGTGGAGCCTAGGAGTTAAGTGACCATAACAGGGCATGTGCAGGGTGTTGAGGGAGATTCTGCTTGCCTTTAAATGCCACAGCTAGGATCAAGGGAGGTCCACCTTCAAATGGCCTACCACAGGTCCCTAGACACGCCCAGGGTTGCAGGATTGACCTTTCTCACTGCTCAACACTACCTCTCCCCTTCTTACCCTCAGGGCCTCCTCTGCACAGCCAGCCCTTGAATTTCTCCTTCCTCTGGATGGATGGCTCACTGTCACACTCCCTAGTCACCCGTGTTTTCTTGCACTGGAGGTTTGCCTCTCTGTGCCTTCGGCGAGCCACCCTCCATATTTTCTTGAGGTGGGAGCCCCCTGCTGTGGAGAGTGCAGCATTGCATGATTGGGAAGATGAACTTGAGCTCCAACGTAATAAACATACCTAGATAAATTCCAGGCCTCTTCCCACATGTCCCAGCCTCTGATTCTCAGCTGGGACCACAGAAGCTATTCTGGACCTCCTGAGATCACTGTTAGGTGAACAGTCCTGTGGGTCCCGATGGTGCCCTGATACCCTGGAGGTGAAGGAGCGGCCAGGGAAGCCCTGAGCATGTTCCAGATCACCCTTTTCCCCAGGCCAGGGTCGCGCTGGATCCCACCCCCACCCCCACCCTCACAGTCACCAGATTATGAAGAATTAGTCTCTAGTACTGAGCACTGGGCACGCGCGCCTCCTGAGCGTCCCCATGGTGACCGAGCGGCTCTAACGCCCCAACCAATCACTGGCCTCCTGGCTGCCTGGGGGCGGGACCAGTCTGCCCATCAAGCAGCCAAGGCCCTGGGTAGAGGGGGATGGGAAAAGCCTGTGCAGTAGCACCCCTCCCGCTTGGCTGCCGCAGGTCCTTTGGGCACCACTTCCTTAGGTACCTTTAAGCAACTATGCACCAATCTCCCTCTATCCCTTGGCTCCAAGCCCCCAGGCCCTTCTCTGGGACCTCACTGCCTAGGTCCTTCTGTGCTCAGAGATAGGTTGGATTCTTCTCCAGCAATCAGTCTAGAGGATTGCAGGAAAAAAAATTACCTGGCAGCATTAACTGAGCACCTACTGTGTGCTGCTCCTGTCTCAGAGGCAGGAACAAAGTGATGACTACAACCAGGGTGCCAGCCTGCTGGGGGACCAGCTTCATCTTACAGGAGCTTACCAATAACTGGAAAGTGAGGTATGGGAGGGTGCCACGCGCTCAGCCACTGTCAAACCACAGCACTCCCCTCCTGCTGGCTTAAGCACCAGGCCCCACCCTTTTACAACAGAGGCCTCATCTCAGGGTTTCCCTAGTCATTGCCATTCCCTTCCTGGAGCCTACTGCCCATGCTCCAGCCTCATGGCCTTGGAGGCTGCCCTGCCACCCCCCACCTTCCCCTTCTGCACCTGTGTCTTCAGGCCTGTGCTTGCTTGGGCTGTCTGCCCTGCTCCTCCCAGCTAGGCCCTGCTGCCATAGGGCCCCAGAGAAGGAAGTACTCCCTACAGTCCTAAGACCTACCCACCCACCCACGGCAGAGTCTGACACCTGAGAGGCCCCCATACCTGAGGGCTGGGGAATGGTCAACACCCACTCTGGCTAACTAGCCTGTGTCAGAGGCCTGTTCTCAGCTCACTTTGAAGGTGTGACACCCGCCCCCAGCATCAACCTCCAGAGGTCACTGGCTTGAACTGAGAGGGCACTCAATTCCTTCTGGAAGGATGAGCTGCTCCTCAACGGGCACCATGCCAATGGTCACTACATTCACCATGGGCATCAGGCCTAAGGCCAGCTACAGTGTCACACCCTGCATTGGGACAGAGATAGACTCCCTCATTTTTGTGTACATGAGCAGTGTGTACACAGCTCTGGAGCTACTGAGGGCATGCAGGGCAACCCTGGGGCCCCCACCTAGGTCAGAACTAGCTGGGATAGAAAGCCCCCAACACTGTCATCTCAGGGCTGCAGCTGCCTGGCCAAGGATCAGGTGCCAGCTCTAGTGGGAGCACCCATCTCCCTGTTATTAGATGCCACCCCCCCCCATCTGAAAGGAAAGCAATTGGGTAGATAGGAGTCCTGAGGCACCAGAGCCTGGACCTGCTGTGGCTGCATGCTGCAAATCTGTAAACGAAACTGGAAAGCCACACCACTGTGTAAATATTCAGAGTTAAAAATCTCGACCAGTTTACACCATTAACATTTTGAAAGCCTCCAGAAGTAAATGACTAGGCAAATGTGATCTAGTCATACAGTGTAGGAGTCACCCTTCAAATGAATAAAGTTTAGCTATAAGCTGCAATACGGACCAACCATAGGGCATTACACTATGTGAAGCAAGCCGGAAACAAAAGCTAATAGTGAATGAGTCCATCACATGTACTGGCCAGAACAGGCGCATTCACAGAGGCAGAAAGTGTCTCAGGGCACCCCACCCCCACCCCCGGCCTGGGGAATTTGAGAATGTGCCACTGCTTAGTGGGCACAGAGCTTCTGTTTGGCGTGATGAAATGTTTTCGAGCTAAATGATGTTGATTGTAGAGTTGTGAAGACATTTAAGACCTCTGGGTTCTATACTTCAAAAATGGTTAAGATGACAATTTTCTTTTTTTTTTTTTTTTTTGGTCTTTTTGAGACAATCTCCTTGTAGCTCCAGCTGTCCTGGAACTCGTATGTAGACCAGGCTGGCCTCGAACTCACAAAGATCATCCTGCCTCTACCTCCCAAGTGCTGGGATTAAAGGTGTGCACCACCATGCCCGGCAAGATGACAATTTTTATATTTATTTTATCACACACAGACAAAACCCCCAAACCCTTGAGCAAGCCCATGGGGGTCCCATTTTACTCATATTGCACCTGGGGCAGCACACACACACACGGCCCACATCTGAGGGGGAAGAGGAATCACAGGTGTTCATATTCTGCAATCCTTTCAAAGTCTTGTCCAGCCTGAAGCTCTACTAGGGTGGCCCCACTTGGCGGGCTAGCTACTATCCTATACAGCCTGATGGGTGCTACTGGACAGGAGGCTCATGTTTGCCAACTGGCAAGGCTAGCATGTTTTAGTATAATGCAGAGGAGGTAGGAACAGGGAGGGCAGATACCACCTTTGTGATCCCAAAGAGGCCACTTCTTGTGCCTCAGTTTCCCTTCCAAATGGCTCTTGCATCAGTAAAATGGGGGTCTGTGGGGTATTAACTCTTCCTGGCATGGAACAGGCATGCAAAAGTGAAAGCTGGCTTCTTATACCCCATATCCCCTTACTTCATCCTCACCTACTTCCCCCTCATTCCCCCCATTCCCTGCAGACTGCATCATGGACATTTAAGGGCTCTGGCACAGCACCATATCAGAGGTGGGCACTGTGACTGGAAAGGCAGGAGAGAGTGCCTGGGAGAGCTACATCTGCCCTGCTTCTCAACTCTGTTGGGCGACAGCCCAAGTGGGCACTGAGGAAGCGAAAAAGACAATGGCTCCTGTCCTCAGGAAATGTGCTCTAGTGGGCAGGAAACCAAACACAAGGACTCCTGGGGAGACTGAGATCCAAAACCTACGAGGATGTCACCTGAACCACACCCTTGCTCTATCCATCCTTCAGGGCTCCTTGAGCACCATCTCCTTAGGGAAGCCTCTATGCCTATTCTCTCTCATCCTGGTACCAGCTTTGAGTACTCTTCTGCAGACACATCCCAAGAAAGGTAGCAGTATGGCTCTACTGTCCATCAGTACATGGTGAGTATGGCTACTCTCTCTCTCCCATGGGGCCACAGGACCTCTTGGCATGCCTGCCTCTTGCAGCTCACCCTGCCAACCAGCTCTAGCGCTGGCCTGAACCTTTGTTCAGTGGCTGCTACGCTGTCCCCTGGCTCTCCTGTCTGTGTCCCTTCACTTCCTGTCCCTTCACTTCCTGAGCTTTGCTTAAAGGTCACTGTATCAGGAAGCCCTCCCCTGCCCAGCCCCCACTGACACACTGACCCCTTTACCTATTTTTCCAGCACACTTATCATTCTCTTGCAATACTATTAGTTTATTGTGTCTGTGGCCTACAGGTAAGTTGCCTCTGGGCCTTGGCAAAACTCTAGTGGGTAGGCTTGGATCACTCCTTTCCATAAGCCATACCCCTTCCTCTGGTGAGGGCTCCTGGGTCTTCCAGGGTTCTGCAGGATAAGCATGTGCCCAGGACCTGGCCAGGCAGCATGACCCACCACATCCACTAGTAATATCATGTGACCAAGCTAAACCCACAAATCAGTCCCCAGCTTTCTCCATCTGGAAGTAGCTAGACCTGCTGGGAAGGGACCCCCATCCTGGGGAAGGCAGGGAACAGATTGGCACAGACAATCCCTCTAAATCCACGTGTGCCTAAAACCAAACACAGCCCTGGACTATTTGGTTATAAGAACAACTTCCTTATTGCCAAAGCTAGCTGGAGGCCAGTTTGCATTGCTTGGGTCTGCTTTGGTCTCAGTACCAGGGGTCTGGGGCCTGGGGGCTGGGCTCACTGCTCAAAGCCCATCCTAAGGCTGCTGGTACTGCCCCAGGGACTGATCACAGTCTCATCCCCACCCCATATGGTTTGAGGAAAGGGGACAGAGAGATCCCTCAGCTGGCTTCCAACCCACTTCAAATTCTTCCTCCAAAGAGCATGATTTAAGAGGCACCCAACCCATGCCTGAATGGTATATAGTGGGCCAGGCCAGTGGCTGTTGGGGGTGGGGGACCTCACTTTCAGCCTGACCTTGGGCACAGCCACCTCCTAGATGTCTCTTATCTGCAGCCTGGGGAGTTGCCGCTGACGCCTT